TATACCTGAGAGCTGACAGCTCTCTGATAACTGACTCTGTATATTGGACAGGTGACTAAACAGCTGGATGCCTCAGTCAGTGGTTCTCCAGGGGCAACCTGCAGCATCACCTGAGAACTGAGAGAAAGGCAACTGTGGGGCCTGCCCCAGACTTACTGAATCAGAAACTCAGCCATCTGTACTTTAACAAGTCACTGCTATGTGCTTTGAAAGGTGGTTTTGATTCACGCTCCAGCTGGAGAACCACTCAGTGAAATGCCTTTCATTTAGTGAGCCTGCCCCACTGCTGCAGGTCCTCAGGGAGGGGAGTGTGAGGCTGCAGGAGCTCTTCACTCTACAGAGCTTTTCAGCTCCTCTCCTCACCCTCCCCAGGCGCCTGACCCTTTTCCCTCCTTCCGTCAACCTCAGTTTCTTCCTGGAACACTTGGGCCTCCTGGTTCCCAAACTGGGATTTCTTCATTGACCCAACTCTAGATCTCCCTTCCCCACCACCACCCCATTCCCCTCACTGGCAGCCCCCTATTCATGCCAACCCCCAACTTCTCAAAACTCTTGGAGTCCCCAACTCTCTAATCCCCCCACCCCAACCCTGCCCCACTCTTCAACTCAGAAGGGGCAGGAAGCTCAGGCCTCCTCACCCTTGGGCCCCACAAGCAGCAGCGGCTGAGCATTCTTGCCCTTGTCATGCCAGCACACGTCAAAGAAGGGGTACACGGGCCCAGGTAGGCGCTCATGGAAAGCAAAAAGCAGCTCCAGAGCATCCCTGTCACTGGCATCATAGAAGGAGAGGACACCGTCGCTAAAGCTTAAATAGACCCCGATGCACACTGGCCGCCTCTCTGGGGTACGCAGTGCACGCGGATCCTTGGCTTCCACGTGCGCCTCCAAGATCTTGCCTTCGCGCAGCCCCAGCAGCCAGAAGCCCTGTGAGGGCACGGCGTGCAGCCGGCCACGGCGGTTGGCCTGGGCAGCCATCACACCCAGTGCCCAGCGTGGTTTGTCGCCCACCTCTACCTCCCAGTAGTGCTCGCCCTCAGAAAGCAGCTGGTGAGCCACCACCGCTATGGCCTTGTCGAACTGGCGTGGGTCCTCCCCGGCTGGCGGCGCCTTCTGCTCAGAACACTCCACACGATGGCCAGAGGGTGACAGCACCAGGCTTGGGTGAGCCGTGCTCGGGTCAAAGGTCAGCTCCTTCACCACTGCCAGAGGGAAATCGGTCAAGCTCTTCTGTGTTAACCTCTGGAGAGCCTTTCCCACAATCTACTTATGAACCAGCCTTGTCTCATCAAATCCTCCCAGCCCCTCTGGTTTCAACCAAAGACTGCACCTCTCTGAGCTGTAAACTAAAGCCATAACGGCCTCCTTCCAAAGGTTGAAGGTGGATTGCATATACCTTGATACAAGATATATTACTCAGCATCTGAGGCCCAGATCACAAAGTAGGAGACAGTTGGAAGCCTGGTGCCACACCAAGCCCCCACCTCACAGGCTGTGACTTCAGTTAGCCTTGACCCAGTCTCTGGGCCTTAGGCTTCTCTTGGATAAAACAGAGATTGCGCCCTGGCTGGTGTAGCTCAGTGGATTGAGCGCGGGCTGCAAACCAAAGGGCCACTGTTCGATTCCCAGTCAGGGCATATACATGGGTTGCAGGCCAGGTCCCCAGTAGGGGACACATGAGAGGCAACCACACACTGATGTTTCTCTCCCTCTCTTTCTCCTTCCCTTCCCCTCTCTCTAAAAGTAAAAAAATAAAAATAAAAAAGAAAAAACAGAACAAAACAAATCTCTCTCTCTATTCTCACCTCCTGCAAGGCAGTGAGGGCTGCAGAGCCACATGTACATGCCCTAGAGCTTTGCAAACTGTAGCACCCTAGTGCACACCACCTCTTGGGAGAGAAGTCTGAGCCCTTGGGCTTCCCCAGCCTCAGGCCACCAGAGTCAGTGTCCAGCCCAGGCCTGTCCCTAGGTTCCCAGCTCAGCAGACCCTCAAGCCCCAGTTAGCAGAGATTGTCATCTCCTGTCCAGAAGGGACAGAGACTGGCCAAGGACCACACAGAGTTCAAACCAGGCCCCAGCCTCCCCTGCTGCCAGCAGTAGCAGCACCCTTCCTGCAGGCAGTGTCCTCTCATGTCAGTCATCCACCTATAAATCCCACACCTTCCAAGGTCCTTCTCTGAGCATGGGTATGACAGTACAAGGGAAACCCTAGAGGTAAAAGGGACAATGGACACCTTCTTTGATGGCCTTCCTAGCTGGAATTGGGGGGCCTCTGTGTGTAACTGCAGGCTTCGATCAACCATAGTTACAAACATAAACCCAGAGTAGCCCCTCCCAGTACCTGGCATCAGAGCACGGAACATCTTCCTCCACACCTGGAATTTGAAGTCATCTGAGATGACAGGCAGCTGGATGTCCAGACGGGCAGGTGGTGGTGACTCTGCCAGGATCTTCTGCAGCCTGGAGGTGGGGAGGTGTGGGGAGGTGTCTGTGAAGGGACTTCCCGAGGAGGCACGGGGCTGGGGAGAGGGCAAGAAGCCATACCCAGGAAGAGAGGAAAACAAGACTGTGACGGCGTTCCAGGATCTCTCCACATCACACCTGGCTTAAAAGTCCTCTGCTAAATTTTTAGTTTGGAAAGATGAAAGTTCTAGAGATGGATTGTGGTAATGGGTGCACAACAACATGAATATAGTTAACGACAATGACCTAAAATGCACACTAAAAAAATGTTTTAAAAGGTCAGTTGTATCATACCACAATATATTTTTTAAGTCTCTTGCTGGGTCCTGATCAGTGTGGATCAGTTGGATGGAGCATTGTCCTGCAAAGCTCGAGGTCACCAGTTCAATTCCCAATAAGGTACACACCTGGGTTTTGAATTCAATCCCTAGTTGGATACATTCAAAAGGCAACCAATCAATGTTTCTCTCCCTCTCTTTCACCCTCCTTTCCCCCCTCTCTAAAACTAAATAACACTTTTTAAAGTTGTTCTCTGGGATAAGGTCCAAACTCCTCCACTCTTCACAGTTTGTCACCACCTGCCACACCAGCTTCATCTTCTCTCCTCCCTCTTACCGATCTTTGCACTTGATGTTCTCTCTGCCTGCAATGCTCTTCCCCCAACTCTTTACCTAGCGAACTCCAGTTCCTCCCTCAGCATCCAACTCAAATGTGCACTCCCCTGGAAAGCCGGCCCTGGCCACCCACTTCCCTCCAGGCAGCACTGAGCACACCGTGATGCCTATGTCCCTGCCCACATCTGTCTGGGAGCTTCCTGAGAAGGAGCAGGTCGGGTTCGTTTCTTTGTTCAACACAAAGTGCAGGGAAACTGCAGCGGACCGAATGGGAGCAGGCAGGCACACTGTGAGTAGGGGGTGAGCCAGCCAGGGTCCCTGAAGGCCAGAGCAAGTCGGGAAAAGGGAAAGGACAGGATGATCTCACCTGCTGGTCACCAGGCAGTATTTCTGGAGAGAGAGAAAAGGAAGATGGAGGTTAGGCAGGCAGGAAGGACACTGGAGACTTCTCAGGATGGGGTGAGCCAAGAATGCTAAGTATGGGGTCAGGAAGAATCAGGAAAGCCAAGAAACACAGAATGCAAGCCTTTTATCTCTGTGTGAATTAGAAAAAGGTACCCCTTCCTCAAGAAACTAATTCCACATGGTAGACGATTGCCCTAAGAAATACACAAACCTACACCGTCTATGACATGAATGGTGCCCGCTTAGATATAGTGCCCTTGTGCAGTGTCTAACCTCAACAACCAACCATAAGGGCAGTCCTGGGGCCCACCCCTCCTCCATGTGTGACCCTGGCTTGTCCCTGCCCTCTCTGGATCTCAGGGTCCCTGTCTGACCATGGGATGAGGTCTCTAGGCCCTGAACCCTGGCTGAGGGGCAGAGAGGGAAGATCGTCCAACGCTCACCATGAGGAACTCAGTCTGAGGCTTCTCCACCACCTCATCCAGCACCTTCTCCATCTGCCGCAACTGCTCCAGGTAAGAGTTCAGGCTCCCCAACTCCCGCCGCAAGGCAGCCCCAGCCTCACTTCGCACACGCTCAGCTTCACGGTCCAAGGAGCCCTCCAGTGCAGCCAGGAACTCCCTCATCTTGCCCAGCTGCTCCCCCACAGCCCCCTGGAACTGACGCACTGTCTCCTGTGGAGACAGACAGGCAGAAGCACTTGGCTGGGGACTCCCGGCACGGACCCTCTGACCACGGGCTCTGCCACGCTAAGCCCCTCACCTCCACCTCCATCAGCTGATGCTCCAGCACAGCCACGCTCTTCTCCTTGCGTGTACATGCCTCCTGCAGCTGCAGCTTCTGTTGTGGGAGCTGTGTCTGGGGGTGAGACATAAAGAAGTGACGCTGCTGTCCTCCCCCACCTGACCCCGCCCTGTAGGACTCAACCTCAATGCCAACCTCCTCCTCCAGCCAAGCTGGCATCTTGCCATTTCCCAAATCCACTGGCAGGTCTCCAGGCCCTTGCCAGTACTTGTCCTTGACATCTAGGAAGCCTTACCCCCACTCGCCTGTTCATGTTCAGTCCTCTTTAGCCTGAGCCCATCCGCTGAACAGTCACCCCCAGCACAGGTCTTTATGAGGGTGACAAACACAAATGTGATTGGGTCTCCTCCACCAGAGGGGTACAAAGTTGGCACCGGCAAGCTTCAGGGGGTGAATGTAAGGATATGTGCAGAAGAAATGCAACCTCCTCCTATTCCTGGGCTTCACACCATACTTAAAAGCAGGACATTAGCAAAACACCCCAATCAGCCTCCCGCACCCCATGGGCTACCAGTTTGTGTCTCCTGAAATTCAGGTTGTTGGGGAGGTCCTAATACCTCCTGCCAAAGCCTCTCTGCTGGGAGGTGCATGGCCCTGGAATTAGGCAGTTCCGTGGCTTTCAACCTCAGTTTCCTCTTCAGCAGAATGGGACCAGTCATCTGCACCCTGCACCTCACTAGTGGTTGCGCCAAATTGGCGGCCTCCTCCCACTTCCCTTAAGGGAAACTGGGAGCTTCCACGAGGCGCTGTTTGTTGTCGAATGCCCGCCAGGTGGGAGGCAAAGGACTGACCCGCGGGGCTTCCCGTGCCAGCCGCCAGGACAATCTCCTCCCCAGGAAGTCCTCCAGGTTGTCTACTGCCCCGCCTGCTACATGACAGGGCGGGCCCGGTGGGTCAGCGCGCGCTTCCGTCTGGGGTTCAGAGTAGGCAGAGCCGAGCCATGGGGAAGAAACGCGACGCCATCCTGGAGGCGCTGGAGAACTTGACCCCGGAGGAGCTCAAGAAGTTCAAGCTAAAGCTGGGGGCGGCGCCGCTCCGCGAAGGTTTTCGGAACATCCCACGCGGGGCGCTCGGGCAGCTCGACGCGGTGGACCTCACCGACAAGCTGATCGCCTTCTACTGCGAGGACTACGGCGCCGAGCTCACCGCGGTTGTGCTGCGCGACATGGGCATGCAGGAGGAGGCGGCGAGGCTTCAGGGGGTCGCGTGAGTTCCCAGCTTCTGGCAGATCCCATTCAACTACTCTTGAGTCTTGGCACTTGGTCAAGTCTGCTCTCAGCCCTTTTTCCTCACCAAAGACCCTGGCGTCCTGTCCTGCCCCAGCTTTCTTGCCCCCGCTCCTCCAGACCTCTGGCCAGCCCCTCCCTGTGGCTTAAGGCTGAGCTCATGTGGACCCTGGCAGATTGTATCCGGCCCCACCTGCCCCCTGGAGGCTCCTTGGACTCCTGGCACCTTGTCCCATTTCACAGACTCTGTTCTCTCTTGGCAGATAAACACAGACCTGGTTGGGACTCACGCGATTTTCAGGAGAGAGGTGAGCCTGGGTTGGGAGGGCTTCTGGCGGGAGGGGGGGGGCGGGGAGGGGGGAGGCTCCTGCACTGGACTAGGGGACCACAGGCTAGCCCTGGGCTGGACTGAGTACCGCGGGAGCAGGAGGGAAGGTGAGGCTGGTCCCCTAGGGCAATCTGAAGACCTGCAACAGGAGCCTGAGGACCCGGGGTCTACCCCTCCAGGAGTCTCGGGGCCAAGGAGAAGTGCAGGGCAGTGGTGATGCTGTTGTTTTTTTTAAATATTTTATTTATTTATTTTTCGAGAGAGGGGAAGGGAAGGAGAAAGAGTGGGAGAGAAATATCAATGTATGGTTGCCTCTCATGCGTCCTCTGCTGGGAACTGGCCTGCAACCCAGGCACGTGCCCTGACTGGGAATCGAACCGCGATACTCTGGTTCGCAGGCCCGCGCTCAATCCACTGAGCTACGCCAGCCAGGGCGGTGATGCTGTTTGTGGGCAAAAATAGCCCGCAGAAGCCCACCTCGACCACCAGACGTGAGAAGATTGTAGCTTCTCCACTGTGCAGACCCAGGACCGCTCCATGCCTCCAGCCCCCGCCTGCTCCTGCCTCTGCCCCTGTCGTTAATTCTAACGCAGCCCAATAAATGTTTCATACAGACCTTCCTGGGCCTGTGTAGACACATACTTTCCCATGATTCAGCATATGTAGGGCATGGGAGAGCCGGTGGGCCCCTGTGTTTCCATTCGCCAATGTCCACGTGACTTTTCTGGGCACCGGTGGGGCTCGCACACTTCGGGGCGCGCGCAGCTGTGTGTAGGCTCTAGAAGCAGTCAGGACTAACAGCTCCAACCAGAAAAACAGACTTGCCTTGAGTCTCGGTGCCAGCCAGTACCTGCGCACCAAGCGGCGTGCCTGCAAAATCTAGGTTTGGGCCACAGCAGTCCCACCAGGGCCGGGCCCCTAGGGCCTCTAAACGGCTCCCCTCTCCGCCAGGGCCTGCGTTCAGCTCCACAAGTTCCCATTCCCTCGCCCCGTCGGCCCTCCAGCGTCCCCTGAACCGCCAGGCACGTCGGGCCCCGAAGCTCAGAGTCCAGTCAATGCAGTAACCTCCTGAAGGACCCTGCCCCGTGCCACAGTCCCACACGACCCGACCCCCGCCGGAGGCCGCCAGGGTCCCAAACCTTGAGGCGCGCGTGAGCTTCAGCTGCCGGCAGCAGGCGATGGCCACGGTGGGAACCCAGCGAGGCACACACACCGCACACAAGCGCGCGGTCCTGCTCGCAGTAGATGCTGAGCGGGTCTAGGTGCTCCTCGCAGTGGCCCTGCGGCACCTGTGCCAGCCCCTCCACCAGGCGCGCCAGCTGCAGGTTGGTGCTGAGCGCCTGTGGCCGCGTAGGAGCCTGGCAGCACGGGCAGGGCGCCGTGCCGTCCGCCGCCGGCTCCCCTGCCGCACGGCTAAGGCAGGCACGGCAGAAGCTGTGGCCGCACTCTGCAGTCACGGGCGCGTCGAAAAGCTGCAGGCACAGCGGGCAGGACAGCTCCTGGTGCAGGAGGCTGGGCGCAGCCGACATGGCGGGCCTGGGTACAGGAGAGGTTGGTCAGAGAGGCTCAGCGTGTGCGACCCGCTCAGTCCCAGCCCCAGAAATAACCTCCCCGCCTCCCGGTTGTGGACGTTGTCTCAATCCCTGTACCTAAACACAAGCCCGGGTTGCAAACACTGTCCACCCCTGTCTTAGCCCCAAATTCTCCAAAGCCCCCAGCCCTAACCTCCTCTCACTCACCTCCCCAGGATCCCCGGCCCTCCCCTCCCCCATAACTCCAGGCCCGCAGGATCCACAGGACTCTCGGGCCTGGCTGGAGACCTTGGGCAAAAAGAGATTCCCGGGAGGCTCAGTCAGAGTCAGGCCTAACTACTCACAGCCGCGTCAGAGTTGTGTCTGAAGGTAGGTGAGAGGCAAGCAACAAGCTCAGGACAAGGACAGGGGACTCTCAGGGGCAGCCAGCAGTGAAGACCACGGGTGATGGCGGCAGCGGATAGCAGACAGATCCTCCCAGGCTTAGCCCTGGCCCCAGGACTATATTTAGCTGCCCTGCCTCTGCCTCCCATCACTTCTGGAAACTGTTCTAAAAGTGAAGACTGAGTGGTCAGGGAACAAGCAACACATGACAAGGCCACCTGTTCTGGCCTATCCCACTGTCCCTCCCTGCCCAGTCTGAAGCCAGGGCTCAGAGCCAACAGGAGACAGGGCCTCTCATACCACAGAGAAGAGAAACATGATTGGTAAGGGTCTGCCCTTTCTCCCCCACCCCCTCTTCCACAATTTCCAGCTTCCTCTTCCCCAAAAATGGCTCCTCCCCAGCTTGTCACCCACTTATTTCCCAAGTTTATGGCTCTCCAAGGTCACACTGACAGTGTTATCTACCCCTGAAGAAATACAGGACCTCACCCCACCCTGAAAGGTTTTCTTCCTCTACAGATGAGGGAAGAGTCTTTTTTTCCCAACAAATTTTATTGATTATGCCATTACAGTTGTCCCATTTCCCCCCCTTCATTCCCCTCCACCCTGCACACCCCCTGCCCCACCATTCCCCCCTTTAGTTTATGTCCATGTGTCACAAGTTCTTTAGATTCTATTTTTCCCATACTATTCTTGCCCCCCCATCTATTTTCTACCTATCGTCTGTGCTACTTATTCTCTGTACCTTCTCCCCCCTTCTCCTCCTCCCACTCCCCTGTTGCTAACCCTCCATGTGATCTCCATTTCTATGGTTCTGCTCCTGATCTAGCTGTCCTCTTAATTTGCTTTTGTTTTAGGTGTGGTTCTTAATAACTGTGAGTTTGCTGTCCTTTCACTGTTCATCTTTTTTATCTTCTTTTTCTTAGGTAAGTCCCTTTAACATTTCATATAAGGGCTTGGTGATGATGAACTCCTTCAACTCGACCTTATCTGAGAAGCACTTTATCTGTCCTTCCATTCTAAATGAAACCTTTGCTGCATAGAGCAATCTTGGAAGTAGGTCTTTGGATTTCATGACTTGGAATACTTCTTTCCAGCCCCTTCTTGCCTGGAAGGTCTCTTTTGAGAAATCAGCTGACAGTCTGATGGGAACTCCTTTGTAGGTGACAGTCCCCTTAGCTCTTGCTGCTTCTAGGATTCTCTCCTTCATTTTAATCTTGGCTAATGTAATGATGATGTGCCTTGGTGTGTTCCTTCTTGGGTCCAACTTCTTTGGGACTCTCTGAACTTCCTGGATTCCTGGAATTCTATTTCTTTTGCCAGATTGGGGAAATTCTCCTTTATTATTTGTTCAAATAAGTTTTCCACTCCTGGCTCTTCCTCTTCCCCTTCTGGTACCCCTATAATTTGGATGTTGGAGTATTTAAACATATCCTGGAGGTTCATTAGTCTCTCATTTTTTTTAAATTCTTGTTTCTTCATATTTTTCTGTTCGGTCATTTTTTTTGTCCTTCTGGTCCACTCCCTTGATTTGAGTCCGAGTTTTCTTCCCATCATTATTGTTTTCCTGTGCATTTCCCTTCATTTCAATTAGTTTAGCCTTCATATGTTCCTCTAATCTGGTACTAAAATCAACCAATTCTGTGAGCATCCTGATCACCAGTGTTTTGAACTGTGCATCTGAAAGGTTAGCTATCTCTTGGTCACTTAAATTTATTGGCTCTGGGGCTCTGAGTTCTTTTTCTGCTTGAGCCATAATGTTTTGGTCTGTTTGCTCCTGTTACACATGAGGGGCAGAGCCTTAGGTGTTCACCAGGGTGGGGGGCGACCCAGTCGCTAGGTTGTGACATTTATGTGGGGGCGGGGTCAGAGAGGGGCAATGGCGTTTGTTTCACTCTCTCTCATATTTCTGTCCCCTCTGCCACTTCCCATAAGTAAATTGGGCCCTACTGGTGCTGGCTCCCGTGTGTGTGGGCCTGTGCACCCTCCAGGACCCTGTGGGTCTCTCCAACAAACTCTCTGTGAGCTTGGGAGCTTCTCCCGGCACCTCGACCTCAAAAGTCTTTCCAATTGGTGCTTTCAGGCTCTAATTGCCATCGCTGGGGCCCTGGCCTGAGCAGTCTGTCTCACTGCTCGCTCCTTCACTTGGTTTATCTGTGCACCAATGTGTGACCACGATCAGGCCCTCACTGAGTCCGCTGGTTGCCACCCCACACCTGGGATCTGCCTCCGCTGCCTGAGCACCTGTGCTCCTGGGTCAGTCGGCTGATCTTTCCTGCCTGACCCCACTTCGTCACTGACTCTGCCCCTCTTATCAGTCTGGATGAACCGTTCGTTGTTGTCGGACTTCCGTACAGTTCAATTTTGTGTGTTTTGGCTGTGTTTTTGTTACTAAAACTTTGTTGTCTTTAAACTTGATTGTGCGAGGAGACACAATGTTTCCACCTACGCCTCCATCTTGGCCCAAAGTGGGAAGAGTCTTTTTTCTGTCTCTCCAGTGCTCAGCACAATCCCAAGGGCAAAGCGGGCCTCCCTTAATATTTGGAAAATAAATAATAGAGGGATAGTTTTCAAAAATGAATGAACTGAACCCAGAACCTGCAGCTCAGGGACTGATTCTGCCCTGGGAGCCTCAGGCCTTCCTGTGCGCTTATCCTTGACATCTCAGTTTAAGTTTCACTCAGAATAAAAACCAAAGTCTTCACAGTGGCCTACAAGGCTTTACCCAATATGACCCTTTGTATCGCTCACCCCACCCCCACTCACTCCAGCCTTAGCCTTTGTATTTGCTGTCCCCTCTGCTTGGAAACCTTTTCAAACCCAAGCATTGTACAGTTCCCTCCTTGTCCTCACTCAGATTTGTATCCACTGTCACCTTTTCAGTAAGGCTTTTCCCAACTCCCTGAACTTATTTATTTATTTATTTTTAAAGATTTTTTTTTATAAATAAAAGATTGATTTATTTATAAATAAAAGATTTTATTTATTTATTTTTAGAGAGAGGGGAAGGGAAGGAGAAAAGGAAGGAGAGAAACGTTGATGTAAGAGAGAAACACAGATCTGTTGCTTCTCACATGTACCCTGAACAAGGAACAAACCAGCAACCCAGGCATGTGCCCTGACCAGGGGTGGAACCCCGACCTTTCACTTTGCTGGAAGATGCTCAACCAACTGAGCCACACTGGTCAGCACCCTAAAACCAGCACCCTGGTTTTAAATCTCACATCTCCCTTCCGTTTTACTTTTCTTCATAACACTTATCACCATCTGACATGCAATATATTTTACTCATTGGGTTTTTTGTCCTTCTTCTCCTACCAGAATATAAATTTGTTCACTGCTTCTCTCCAACCTAAAGTGTATGGCACCTCAATAAATATCCAACAAAGGAATAAACACACAACTCACTGGGTCCTTCTCTTTGGCCTCCCAGTCACGCTTCCTCTCAGTAACAGTACTTTCTCCCTCAACCGTTCTGACTCTCCCAGAGATTCCTTTCTGTTTCAGTCTCTTACTTTCCCCTTTGGACTCTCTCTTTGCCTCTCTCGGGTGTTTAACATTCGTGTTTATGAATTTCGTCCCAGATGTGCACACAAGGTGTTCTGGATCAGAGACAGACTTCTCATTAAATACCTCTGTGAATAGTAAATGTTTGTGGCCGCCCCCCCCCAGCCCCCCGGTACTCTTGGATGGTGCGATGACAGCCAGGTCCATCATCCCATGAGAGTAGTAATCGGACACCCCACAGGTGAGCAGCAAGAATTATTTTTCCTGCTTACAAAGGGAAGGAAGCTGCTGTTACCCTCCTCTGCCTAAGGGTCCTCTTACTCCAACTCTTTGGCAGGTATACAAATCTCCCCAGGACTCAGATAGCTCCTCACACATCTTCATCTTTATGAGAAGTCTCCAAGGTCTGGACGTGTCTCCAAGCTGTGGAGCTCATTGCTTGAATGCTTGAAGCTTTTTGTGTTGCATGCTGGCCTGCTTCGAAAGCTACTACAGGCTTCCTGGAACCCTGGAACCTTGCAACCTTGTTCAGGCTATAATCATTTGGGCCTCTCATGAAGAGATAAGAGAAGTTTTATTATTATTTTTCCATCAGAGCAATTAACTATACAAATGACTCCAGATTTAATTCTCATGATAAGTGAGCAGTCTCAGGAAGCTAAGGCTTTTAGTCAAACCTGAGAAATCCAGGGAAATTTTATTTCTCCACTCTGTATCTAAGCCTCTGATTTTATCTCTCTGCCATTTTTGGTGCTCAGACTTGGCCTGGGGTTGGCAAACAGGAGGGGTGTGGGGATAAGAGTGTGTATCTGGAGCTGGTCTCTGAAACCACACGCCACTTCACTTTGTCTCAGAAAAGTCAGCATCCCAAACGTAGATCTCACCTGGAGTTTCCATCACTGCCAGGCTGGGGCTGCAGGTTTGGTCAATAGGAGTGAGTGGGAACCCAGGACAGGAAGGTGACAGTCCACTCACTACCTCTCTGTCAGTGGGCCAAGTCTGACTCATCTGATTCTAACCCATGGAAAAGACATTGATTGTCTACAAGAGGTTAGAGGACAAGAAGGGGTCAAAAATCATGTCTAGGGGAGGAGGAGGTGAGAACAAGTGCTGCTGACCCTAAAACAGGGCTGTGTGAGGTCCCTGGAGTCCCCAGGGCTCAGAGGGGGCAGATTTTACTTTCCTGCCAGGGGTTAAAGCTCTACCTTAGGGAGAGTTTTCCAAGAGCTGGAGTGATAAGTGCAGCAGGAAGTGAGCACTCCTTGTATTAAATAAATGCAGAAGAAGCTATGGTACTAGGTTAAGGAAGGTAATGATGCCACCCCCATAGAGGTGTCATGAGGACTATCCCAGACAATATAAACAAACACGGGGTGGTGTGCTGACACCAAAGGGATTAGGAAGCTGTGACTGACACTACTAGCTTAAATCTTGACTCTGCTCCTTCCCCGTTGTATGATCTTAGGCAAGTTACATAACATGATTTCCTCATCTGTAAAATGAGGATTGTTTAAGGATCAGTATCAGAGTATTTGATTGTTATAAAGTTTCAACAAGCTAATTTGTGTAAAGCTCTTAGAACAATGCCAGGCCCATAGAAGATGTTCACTAAATGCTGGCAATTGATGTTATTACAATTATTATGAATGGGTCCAGCGAATCTTCCCTACAACCCTGTAAGACCAACAATATCATCCCCACTTCACAGACTGGGAAACTGAGGCTCAGAAACTTTAATAATGACAAAGGCACCTACTATGTGTCAGGTCTGTTCCAAGCACTTCACAATTCTTAACCCATTTAGAATCTCATAACTTCATTTGTAACCCATAACAACCTCATCACCTACCTTACAGGGAGGCCATGAGACACAAATTGATTAAGTAACTTGCTGAATGTCCTGGCAGTCTCTGGTCCTTCTGGCTCCAGCAATCAAAGGGTTACTTTTGTTGGGTGGAGAGTCACACCCAGGAAGCATCTTACCACTAACTGCTCTGGCTCTGGTCCAGGGGGCAAGGGTGGGCCTGAGGTAAGACTGGAAGTTCTTTTGTGCCAGGGGTCAAAGCTCTGAGCTCTCAGACTTACCCCAGAAAAGGAGGCCAAGGAAGACATTAGAGCTGCCCAAGGCTCCTACCCCACACTTTCCCAGGGGGAAACCACCCCAGCAGTCACCAGGAATGAATGAGTTCTACTTCCACCACCGTGAGGGGCCCTGGGCAACCTTCTGCCCTTTTCAGTGAGGTGAGCACACCAGTGACACAGGATGCAGACCCCAGAGAGGCGCTGCGACCTCCCAAGTCACACAGCTAAGAGGTAGAGGGTCTAGGAATCAAATCTGCGTGGTCTGACACCCCTTGTGTCCTGCTCTACCCACTCTCGCACAATCTTCTGAATGTGCTTTATACATTCTAGAACATTCTGAACAAAGTAGGAAGTTGTTATCGTTACAATTATTGCAATATCTGCCCTCCTAAGTGTGTCTGTGGACCATCTGGAGGAGGCATAAATTTCCATATACATAATCCCTCCAAGCAATTTGTTGATTTCTGAGGACATCGTGACTATTTTTCTTTTTATAGAGAATGAAGTTTTTATTCACTCCTCAAGAAAGGAGAAGGGTATGGTGTGAAGAGATACACCAACCAACATCGGGACTTTTAAGATGTTGGAATTTGGGCCTAAGAGTCAGATGGACATGGTTCAATCTGTATTTTCTGTTATTACCAGGATAGGCTTTCAGAGTAATTTCTGAAAGCCTCTGTTTTCTCCTCTGTAAAGAGGGATAAACACACACACCTGTGAATGAGTGGAGCTCGTTCAGAATATTAAATGACATTATGAATGTTAAGTGCTTAGCAGAGTGCCTGGAACATAGTAAATTCAAACAAATGAAAGCTGTTGTTACTATTATTCATCTTCCACCAGCACTTATCATGGGCTTGGGCATGTGATAGATCCTCCATACAGCTTTTTAGAAATTTCATACAGAAATTTCGTGTCCTCTGATTCTGAGTCTACAATGTTCACACAGAGCACAGCCACATATCAAAAGGTGTAAGTTGTTCCCACCGAGTTCCAGCCTGAAACCACTGCAGGAGTGAGGCTTCCAGTCCCAGGAGGGGAAAGGCTGCAAGTCCCCTGTGCCTTGTCCCTTGCCTCCCTACCACATCACGCCGAAGTTTACCACTTGGCTCTGAAGCAATGTCAAGTGAAAACCATGTCTTCCATGTCTCGGTCCGAATGGGTGCAGCAGGAATGTGACTGGGGTTGATGCCCGGGGTGAGCTCAGCCCAGAAGGAGGGATCCTGGGTGGTGGTGACATGTCACCACTGTGACATGTCCTCAGCTCCCTCACCCCCAGGGATCCAGGTGTGAGAAGCTCGCTTTCTCCTCGTAGTCATGACACACATTCCCCCCAGTGCAATTTCCTGGAGCCCCAAAGGTCCGGTTGAAATGTGTTACATTGGTTTTGCTGAAAGCCAAGGCTGCCCCACCCAAACAAGCGTCCACCTGATGCAGTCGATGGCCACGTGGCCCATGGGATCTCTGCTCTGTGTAGGGATTGAATTGGGCAATCATTTTTTTTAATAAAAACAATCACATAGCATTTATTGCCATCTGGTAATAACAAAAGGGTAATCAAAACAAAATGAATAAATGTTCAAGGACTACCTGCAACAAAGAACACCTAAAAAATACAAACTGTATTGCTTCTCAACAATTTTACACTTTATTAGTCATTTCTAATTAAAGACACTTTGGACGAGAGTAATATTATCACCTTTTATCATGATCTGACCTGGTTGTTTTCTTGACTTTGTTTTAAAATGAATCTCTTCTGCATCATCTAATACAAGGTTCATGTATTCATCAATACCAATGATACAGCCCTCTATCCACATATTCGCTTGCTCGTAAAGCCACACATGAACCCGAGATCTATTCTGCAAGTATCTGAACATAAGGGTGATGGGCTGCACCATCACCTTCTGCACTTGTTGGCCCTGGCCACAATATGCCATGGTGGAAGCCGACGAAAGACCATGCTGACCTACACACTACATCAAAAAGCTACTTGTGGAGCAAAGCCTGGGCAAGCATTTTTTAAAATTCATGGCTCAAACACACAAAGCTTCTACAATTCTACCAAATGTAAAAAGAGCAGGCTTTTATGATTCTAGATTCTAGGATTCTTTTGCTGTTGCATAAAGGCTTATCAAGACTGAGTCTGTGTCAAGCCCTGTGCTGAGTGCTGTGGACCAGAAAGGGGCCTCAAGGAGCTCAGTCTGGTGGGGAAAGAAGAGAGAATAGACACACCATGGGATAAGCACTGCAGTAGAGGCACAGTAGGGGCATCCTGTGGACCTGGACAAGCAATAACTCATTCTGCACAGAGAGGACAGAAAAGTCAACAGGGAAGAGTGGACAAAGGACAAACTCAGAAGTTAGACAAAGTATGTGATCCCCTCAGCTACATGGTCTTGGACAAGTCCTTTAACCTGAACTTCACTCAGTTTCCTTGTTTGTGAAATGGGGCTAATACTCCCTATTCCATAGTGATTGTTGTAAGGCTTAGAAATAATGCACATGAAGGATCACAGGCTAAAGAGGGGCTCCAATGTTTATTATTTCTCAGAAAAAGTGATTCTTAATGAATGCTGAAGCACAGGTGGAAACCCAAAAAGCAGGCCAGGAAGAAAACAAAGCCAAGCAGAGAGGAAGTACCACATGTGCAGAGGTCCAGAGGCCACCATTGGACAAGGTGCTTATGAGGAGCTTGGCTTGATTCTGGGGCACTGAGAGTCATAGCAGGTTCCTGAGCAGGGGAGGGACAGGACCAATGTGTGGGCTGGGAAGATGTAGCCTTCTGGCCACTGTGCACAAAAGGAGTTGGAGATACTGAAAGGGTGAAGACCAGTGAAGATGCTCAGTAATACACAACCATAATCCAGGGAACGCTGGCCGTTGGACCACAAGTGCCACCTGTGCTGAGGATGCTGGCACGTAGTACTACCCAGCCCGTGTGGGGCAACACATACATGGATGGGAGCAGGGCCCTGCTATCCTCTGGAAACTCTTAACTACAATGTGCTGCAGGTAACAGCCTCGTTCATTCCTTCATTCAGCAAATGTTCACTGAGCATCTACTGTGCACCAGGCAGTCTCTTCATGCTGGGGCTTCAGCAATGAATGAGACAGTGTCCATGCACTCACAAAACTCACATTCTGGTGGGGGATGGGTGCCCAATATATAAATAAATACATGTAGAGTATGTCAGGACCACATCACTACAAGGAATGGTGATTGTTATACCCCACATGAAGAAAAATGAAGGATTCCCAGTACCCACCTAGGAAGGAGAGCCAGGATGCAAAGTAAGGACTGTACAGCTTCAAGTCCCATCCTTCAGCTCCTGAAAGCTGCCTCCCTTTGAAGAGGTAATATGTAAAGCATACCTTCCAGTTACTGGCATCCTCCCTTGAGCCACAAGGCCCATTCACAAAGATTTATTGAACACTTACTATAGGCCAGGCACTGTTCTGGATGCTGTGAATATAACAATGATGTGGACAGGCATGATTTACAAGCTGACAGGGAAGACTGGTGCTAAATAAATATACAGAGTTAGTTGCAATTAGTCACAATTGCTATGAGTAGCTACAAATAAGTAGCAGGTGTTTGGAATTACTCTGGGAGGGATTCTAAACCTGGTCTCCCTGAGGAAGCGACATTTAACTTGAGACCTAAAGTCTCAAGAGTTTGTCAGGCAAAGAGTGAGGGAACAGATTTGCAGGTTACAGGAACAGTATGTGCAAAGGCTTAAAGAAGCAAAGGAGCCTGGCACACCTGGGGAACTGAGAGGCCAGTGTGCTTGGAACCCAGAGACAGAGGGAGAGTAGGGGTGTGGTGCAGGACAAGGCGTGCAATCCACAGGGCCAGACCCAAAGGGCCTTCCCAGCCATGTTAAGAGCACGTTAAGGATTCTGGGCACAGCTTGGGCTCCAATCCCCCCCTGTGTACCTCTCACCTGCTCTTCTGGGTCAAGCCCTCTGGGCCCAGAGTGACTCTCCATCTATGACTTTCTCTCCAGTCAAGAATTTTCTCAACCATTGAAAGTGTGTCTTATCATCGCTTCCCCAGAAATTCTCCTGGGACCAAATCCTGGCTCTCCCAAGAAGCATTTGGCAAGGTTTCAGGAACCACCAAGTAGCCCATGTTATGCTGGGATATTTACTAAATGGATGAGCAAGGGTTACCCCCACTTTACACATAAGGAACCTGAGGCTGAGACACAAAGCACACACAGCTATTCATCACCCTTTGGTTTCTGTTTTTTAAGATTTTATTTATTCACTTATTTTAGAGAGAGGGAAAGGGAGAGAAACTGATATGTGAGATACATTAGTTGCCTTTTGCATGCCCCTAACTGAGGACCTGGCCTGCAACCCAAGCATATACCCTGACTAGAAATCGAATCAGTGACCTTTTGGTTGGCAGGTCAGACTCAGTCTACTGAGTCACACCAGCCAGGGCTCCTCTCCCTTTTTTTTACATCTCATTTCTCCCCAGTATGTGGAACTGGGGGAGCCACAAGGTTCTGGCTGTTGAGATTCTGATTCTAAGATCACATGACATGTGCAGGAGGATGCTAAGGTTCAGGGAATGGTGGAGATTTCAGGGCTTTAAAATTCCAAGATTCTGAGCCTTGGCACTCCCCTGAACTGGGTGCCTGCTCTGTGCTAGCTAGTGCAAGCCTGGAGTTGCAGGCACCACCCATTAGCCCTTATCTGCCTAGTCCCACCTTCTGGACCTGCAGGAGGACGGGTTCCTGGTGCCTGGCTCTCGTCCTGTCCAATGGCCAAGGAACTGACCAGAGGATGGGGCGGGGAGAGGGGTTGGGACAGGGGACCAACACTGTAATTTAGGACAACCGAACCCACGCTTACGGGCAAAGGGCTGGGGCAGAGGCGGGTGTCCGGAAAAAGCGAAAAAGCGCGGGGGCGGGGGTGGAGGTGGGATGCAGGTCCCGCCCAAGAGTAGAACTTCCTGGTTGGCTGATACCTGGGGTGAGCAGCAGCTGCGGCAGCGGGGGACCCCAGAACCATGGGGTGCACGCGGGACGCCATCCTGGAGGCGCTGGAGAACCTGACCGCCGACGAGTTTAAGAAGTTCAAGCTGAAGCTGCTTTCAGTGCCCCTGCGCGATGGCTACGGGCGCATCCCGCGGGGGACACTGCAGTCCATGGACGCCGTGGACCTCAGCGACAAGCTCGTCAGCTGCTACCTGGAAGCCTACAGCGCCGAGATCACTGCCCAAGTGCTGCGGGACATGGGCATGCAGGAGACCGCGGAGCGGCTGCAGGAGATCACGCGCAAAGGTGAGCGAACCCCGCCACGCCCTCCAGAATCTCCTCCGTCCCCCAAGATCCCCTCATGTACACCCAACCCCCAGCCCGAACGTTTGCCCCTTGGGCTCTTTCACTTTCTGTTCCTCCTACCCTCTAATGAAAACTCCTCCTGCTGGGAAGGGAAGTTTCCCGCGTTTAGTCCTGACTGGCCTCCTGACCGAAGGGCCCCTGACCCCACTGGGACCCTGGAGGAAAGAAAGAAAAGGACGAGAACCACTTATTCCCTTACAGACTCTGCAGCCGTGCCAGCCCACATCAAGGCCCCTACCCGGACCTCAGCCGCGTCATCAGGTGAGGCCTTCACACCCAAACTCGGTTGTTCTGGGCACCTCACCAGCCCCATCCCACCACACCACACCCCCGCATAGCCTGTCTGCTCCCGCAGCCAAGAGAACCAGGAGAGCGCAAGCCTGAGCCAACCCCTCCCAACCCACATACCCACACAACTCCTTGGGCCCAGCCTGGCTGAGGAGAAAGGGAGACCGAGTTATGCCCACCCCACTCTATCTGGTGTCCTGGTGGGCTGCCCGCCTTGAGCTCCACCCCCTGAGGGTGCACTCAGAGCAACTCTGAAGAAAGGAGTGTTAGCAGGGACAGGCTCCAGCACCCACCCTGAGCGCCAGTTCATCTGATCTCCTCCCTCCTGCTCCCAGGACTGCACTTTGTGGACCAGCACCGGGCAGCCCTCATTGCACGGGTCACAGACGTGGATGGGGTGCTGGATGCTCTGTACGGGAAGGTCCTGGCAGAGGAGCAGCACCAGGCTGTGCGGGCGGAGCCCACCAATCCAGGGAAGATGAGGAAGCTCTACAACTTTGCTCCAGCCTGGGACCTGACCTGCAAAGACCTACTCCTTGAGGCCCTAAAGAACACCCAACCCTACTTGGTGGCTGACCTGGAAAAAAAGAGCTGAGGCAGCAGCTGGAACTCACAGGGGTTGGTGTACTGAATTAATTTTTTTAAATACACGGTGCATAAAAAACCAGGGTGTACTTGTGTGGGTTTTTCCTACTTCCAGCCTGGAATGACATGCAGAGCTAAGCTGCGTATCTAAATGCCACAGAGGCTCGAGGGAAACTCTACTCCACTGCCTTTCCTGGGCAGCAGGCTCCCCAAACACTTCATCCCTCCTGACTCGGTCACCATTTAGTGGCAACTTTGGAGAGCCAGATTTGAGAAGGCATTTAACTTAGGACATTCTTTGCTAACCTGCAGAGCTTCTCCTTTGCTCTTTCCATGGTGGGGGGAGGGGGACAACATACAACTAGAATAATTTTCAGGGGGAGGGACAGTATCATCTAACATAGAAGACCACAAGCCAAAGCCAAATACAACTCTAGGGTTCCTTCTGGAACTACCAGCAAGCTAAACCTAAACCCCTCCCTTTGCTCCCTCCTACCACCTGGAGGAAGAAGTCATAGGTTACACTATGCCCAGAAAATATGCCAACCACAAAAGTAAAACTTTAGGAATTCAAGTAGCTATGCCTTCTCATGATGAAATTAAAGGAAATATAAGTACTATTGACCCTTTGAACATGGGGGTTAGGGGTGCTGACTTCCCACAAAGTCTTAAACCCAAGTGTAAAATTAGCCCTCACAAAGTAAATTCACAATATAGACTGAGAACAGACTGACAGCTTTCAGAAGGGAGATTTGCA